GTGTGTGTGTGTGTGTGTGTGTGTGTGTGTGTGTGCGTTCCTACTTTAGTCTGGAAGCAGCAGAAGAGTTGCGTCAGGTACGGGTGTTTTCTGGCGAGGGCCAGGATGCGTTTCTCGGTCAGGGTGCAGTCCACGTCGTCGTCCTGCAGGATCACGTCTTTCTTCAGCACTTTGACGGCGTAGACCTCGTCACTGCCTTTCAGCTCCGCCAGCATCACCTGGTCACGTGACACACAAACGTCAAAACACGGCAGTGACAAAAAAAAATTCAAAGGTCGGAGGTCGTGCACTCACCTTTCCGAAGCTTCCTTTCCCCAGAACCTTGATGAACACAAAGTCGTGCAGGTTCATCCTCTTGGCCTCTGGAGCACTGTGACCTTTGACCTCACCGTTCGCCCGGCTCCCTTCTCCCTCCACTTTGGCTCCGCCTCCATCGCCTCCTCTGCCTGGTGCGCCGTGGTGGTCGCCCCCCGTTACCGTGACATCAGTGGATGGCGAGGACAGGGGATGCGCCTTGTGCTCCTCCCCGCGGTGGTCGAACGACAGAGCCTTCCTGAAGTTCTCCAGCTCCTTCACATCTGGACAGAAACGTAAAACAAAAGTGAGGAGAGCGTGTTCGGTCGTGTGGTTTTAAAGATCGCACGTGATTGGTCGGAGTGATCGTCTACCCTGGTCACATGGGGAGGTGGGGGCGGACTGTGAGCGGTCGTCTTCTGTCTGAGGCGTCCCTGATATCTGCTGCTGGGGGTCCTGACCCTGAGGAAGCTGATCACAGACAACGCATCACTGTCACCACTGTCATCTGCAATTTATTCAATCAATCAACCAATAAAAACAATCAAGTAACGATCAGTGTGTCGAACGCAAAACTTCCTTTTCAGTTTAATTAAGTTTTTATGGTTTGAAGATAATTAGAAAAATAAACAGATCTGGGTTATTTGTTTGTTTTAAATCAAAGCTCGTGACTTTAGAATAAAAAGTCAAGATGTCCACTAACTTTGTATTTAAAACTAATTCTCAAAATGGAAACAAATTCAATTGAATTAATTTCTACATACATTTAAACCTGCAGTGAGAAACATTTTGTCTCCCCCACCAGGCAGAGAGAGTTATTACACAAACAGTTCTTTATCTAGAGCTTCAGAAGCTTTTGTTCAAACTGTTCAAACTCTGTCTTCATCTCTAAACGAATTAAATAATTAACATTAAACATGTCACAACAGCCTGTGTGAACTCGAGTGGCGAGGGCTTGAATGTATAGGACATTTATTTATATGTTAAAGACATTTATTCCAGCTTCAAAAGATAAAAATCAGTTTTAATTTTTCTTCCACGGCTTCTTCTATACTCTGTTTCCTGGATTTTAATTCCACAACCTGACGATGATTCACCTTTTTGCGTCTCTGTGCACTGTTGGAGATCTTGTCCGGCGTGACTCCGAGGGCGGAGAGGACTTTGGCGATTCCCCTGGCGTCCACGCCGCAGTTGGGAGCGACGTTACTCTCACAGCGCCGGTGTACATTCACTTTGCAGACTGACACACGCAGTGAAGAGAGTTAGAACGTGCACACTCACACTCGTAACACGGAGCGAAGGAAACGTCCTCACCTTTACACTGCAGCCCCTGTCGCAGCAGACCCCAGAGCAGAGACCCGCAGTGATCACAGAAGGTGAGAACTTTAAAGTTGTGGATGCTGAACTTGTGCGGGACGTTGACACTGAACCTCTGAGACCCGACTGTCTGTGACAGAGACAGAAAGACAGAGAGACAAACCTGCAGATCAGCTCCAGACATCAGTGTGAGGAAGTGTTTAAGTGTCTCTGATATTGATTATTGTTACTTGATCGATCGACTCTTATGACAAAAGTTTATTTTCCAGGTGAAGCGATAAATAAAAAAGGATAAAAACCAGCAGGAGGTTTTAGATCAGTACCTCCACAACTGTGTCATCCTGCTTCTTCATCCCGGCACACTTGGTAATGATCAGCTCATGGCAGCGCTTATGGACCACACAGGTACACACTGCACACACACACACACACACACACACACACACACACACACACACAGGAAACATTAACAGGGTGGTTGTATGTGTCATAAATGCCTGAAGCAACATGTAATAAAAACTCCGTCCCACCTTGACACTGGTAGCCTTGTTTCCCTAAGACGCCCCTAAAGTCAGAGAGAGAGAGAACGTGTCAGACAACTTTAACAATTATTATGATTATTTTTAATAATTAATTCTGACAATTAAAAAAAGAAAAATCTTGTTCCTCAGTCGTGTTTTTTTTTTTTTACTGAACAAAACTAAACTAAACTTAAAAACCCTCCGTTCAGTTTGACTGCAGAGTTTTTATTTCATGGAAACCCTGAATCCATCAAACAGTTTCCTTGTGATTGTGAAACAAATCAAACTTTTCTCTCAGAGCTGAAAACACGGAGCAGAGCGGAGCCACGTGTTTTTCCGTGTGAGCGACGCTGACGCAGCTCGTTGGGATGGAAACAAACACAGCTGGCTTTGTTTACAGCGCCACACTTCACAGCATCCACCGTGTTTACATGTAAACAAGACGACAGGTCTGTGTGAGACGTCGAGTTCCAGAAATTGAGAGTTAAAAAAGAGCAGCAACAGCCTGGTTTACGTCTGCAGCTCGTCAATAATAAGACTTAATTAGAATAACGAGTCTTTGCATTTACTTTCATACTTTAGTACAGAGGAAACTGGACCAGTGTGTGTGTGTGTCTGTGTGTTCACCAGATAAAGTCCCTGCAGTGGGAGCAGTACGTGGGCTGTCTCAGGTAGGTGGCCATGAACTTGTGGCCGTTGACCTGGTGCACCCTGCGACGGACGGCACCCTGGCGCTTCCTGGGACGCATCCGCTGCCGGAACACACGCTCCTCATTCTCGGTGGAGTCGGCTGCAACTACACACACACACACACACACAAACACAACATGCGAACACAACATGAGTGCACGGTAAAGTGTGAGGGGTCCTGCACACACCGCAGCTGCACTTACACCATGCAGCCACTGGATGGTGCCGTCACAGTGCGGCTGAGTTTATCCTTCAGGTATAAATTTAACTTCAGCGTCTGATTCTGTCTCTGCTGCTCTTTAAGCTTAATTACACAGGGTTTCCCCAGGGGAAGGTTTCAATCAGTGTCTGACACTGTGGTAATTACACACACACACACACACACACACACACACACACACACACACACACACACACACACACAGTTTATTATCACTGCACATTTGAGTGAGAGGGGGTTCAACTAGCAGCAATATGCAACCTGACCACTAGATGCCGCAAAGTGCTTCACACTGAACCTACTTCACTGTAATTTAATTAATAATAAGAATAAGAATGTTAGTAATAATAACAATAAAACCCAATGTGAACCTAAGAATAAAAAGTATGATCTGGAGACATAATCGATTCATAGTTTGTAAAATATTTATAAATATTTTTTATACTATTTCCACTGTGTTTTTAATGTGAATTCCATATTTATATTTTCACTTTATCGTCTTAAATCAGGTGTTATACATCGACAGGAAGTTTCCTGCTCATCAACCCTCAGATAATTAACTTTTATCAGCCACAACGTTAAAACCAGTTTCCTGTTGAAATGCTGACGCGAACACAGCGACTCCCTCAAGGACGAACTTGACGTTAATCTTCGAGGACTTTTTTTCTTTCTATATCTTCTTCTTCCTGTCCCGCTCTGCCCGTCCTCACTCTTTACTACACTGTACGCCATCACCTAGCAACTGATGACTGCTGCCTAGCAACAGTGTTAGACTTGGCGTTTTCCACAGTGAAGGGTTCAGGGGCGGGTCTGTGATGGTCTGTGATGGTCTGTGATGGTCTGTGATGGTCCCTGACATCTTCATCACAACCTCATCAGTTAATCAGCGACAATATCACAAAATACAAAAAAAACGTCCTGATAGACACCTACAGGCTGGAATGTGTATTACACTCGATGAGACCGAAAATATAGTTTTAACACTTTACAAATTTCAGATCAGCCTGATGATGTAAATAAAGATATTTTATTCACTTATATTTGTTTCCTGAAGATTTAATCGGACTCAAACCATAACTAACACTTACCTAACCTTAAACTAACCTTACTCCAGCCTTAAACTAATCTTAACCTAACCTTAAACTAATCTTAACCTAACCTTATACTAACCTTAAACTAACCTTACTCCAGCATTTAACTAATCTTAACCTAACCTTAAACTAATCTTAACCTAACCTTAAACTAATCTTAACCTAATCTTAAACTAATCTTAAACTAATCTTAACCTAACCTTAAACTAATCTTAACCTAACCTTAAACTAATCTTAACCTAACCTTAAACTAATCTTAACCTAACCTAATCCTAATCCAACCTCATTTTAGTCGAACCAACACATAACCTTGCCGTTATCTGAAAACAAGTCTTAAATCATTTATGTTATTGGGACTCGATTGGATTTTTTTTTTGTCCCCATAATTATATAAACACAAAGAGAAGTCAAATCAAATACATTTATAAAAATAAATGAATAAAGAGTAATAACACTGTCACCACTCATCTCACTCTCTCTCTCTCTCTATCCATCGCTCCCTCTCTTTTGATGATGTAACTAGTCCATTAGAGAACACTCCACTTTACTAATCAATTTACCACCCCTCTCTCCCCCTCTCTCCCCCCTCTCCCGACCTCCAGTTAACTCCCTCTCTGTCTTTCTCTTCTTCCATTCTGTCATGTCTCTCTATCACGTAGTCTGGTGCACACACACACACAGAATCTGAACCAAGAAATGAATGTAATACACACATGAAGAGCAGGGGGCATTGTGGGGGACAGATACTCGCCATCGTCTCGACGTCTTTAATTTAAGGGCCTTGATTTAAGGATGTGTGATCTTTGTTTCCAGGAAATGGTTCATTCTACACAGTCTGAGTTCTGTGTTGTGTCCTCTGGTGATGGATTTCAGTAACATGCACAGTTCAAAGCAAGGGAGCACTTACACGTCTGGTCGTTTGCACAAAAACAAAGCAAAAGATGAAGGGCCGTGATTCTGTGTAACATACGTGTTCTGTGACCATGATTAGAAGCATGTGTCTCACCCTCACTGGAAGATCCCAACAGGTCAATGACAACATACACCTTCCCCTCCGGCTCCAGGTCGATCTGCAGAGAGAGAGAAGAAGAAAGATTCCGTTTCCTTCACGTGCAGGTGTTGAGATGATTGTAATTAACACGGTAATGATTCCATATGAAAACGTGGAAACTTGATGGTTTAATAAACATTTCCCATTTTATCTTTTTACTTTATATTAATATCTTCTTCAGCCTCCACACACGAAAGATGCCAACCTGCGGGAAACTGCTCACAACTTCCTGTTCGGACAAAATTGCACAGCATCACTTACAACATGTTTCATGTGGTAACACACAGACGCACACACACACACACGCACTGCGCTGCGTGATAAAGCAAACTAGGTTGACACATATCCTGTCTCACACCCACACACACACACACACACATACATGTATGTACAACTCTCTCTATCTCACACACACTGAGGTCTGACTGTGTTTAGCTCTGAAGATTGATCAATTGAGTGACTGCAAGTGTATATGAGTACACAGCGGAGTGTGTATATGTACAAGTGTGTGTGTGTGTGTGTGTGTGTGTCCTTGTTATGGTGCAGCCATGTTTTGGGATCTTAATGGATTTTCATCAGTACAATCAGCACATTGAGAGCGTTTTCTGCGTTTTAATTAGATAAGTAATCTCATCCATCTACATTTTCTACGAGACGCGGCGGAAGGAAGGAAGTGGCTGCGTCAGAAGGACACACGAGCGCAGCAGAACATTTACATGGATCCATCAGAGCAGGTTTTTATTCTGAACTCAATGAGTCTGACACAAGAAAAAGTCTAGAACGTGTCAGATACCGAAGAAGAAGAAGAAGAAGGTGAATCAACACACAGCGTAATGTATTCTTAAACCAAATCAAATCAATCTGATAATGACAATGGATTAAAAATTAGTTCACAGTAATGACATTTTCTGTGACCAAAAAAAGAAAACCTCCGGCTCCAATGACGATTATGACGTCAACAGACACACACAGAGAGACAGACACACACACCTCCTCCCTTCCTCTGAGGTCAGCGGCCTCCATTCATCTGCTGCTCAGACTCACAGGTGCAGATGAGATTAAAAATAGAGCCGGCGGAGGAAGGAAAAGGCCCCTCGGTGCGTCCACCTCTGTTGTTGGTTAATTCTCATAGATTTGGCCCCTTCGCTCCCTCTACCTGTTTATCTGAGAGATGACAGCTGCACGCTCACAGAGGTCAGAGGTCACAGGAGAGAGAGACACTATTTATCGGTGGAGGAGGAGGAGGAGGAGGAGGAGGAGGAGGAGGTGGTCTAAATCTTTTTGCCACAGAGTGTCACCGAACAAAACATCAACTTTATCAACTTTGAAATTCCGCCGGCAGAACCTGGTGAGGTTCTTCTGGTTCCACAGAAATCCACCATGACAGTTTATCACACAACATATACGAGACTTTATTTATTACTATTCACTCATTAAACCAGATCAGGGTCAATGATATTTAATTTGAAGATCTGCTACTTCAAGAATCACATGTTCTTCATCATGTGACACCGTCTGCATGTGTGTGTGTGTGTGTGTGTGTGTGTGTGTGTGTGTTATCTGCATAATTTAACATGGAGTCAAATCTAATTTATTTTCCTTTTTAGAGAACATCCTGAAACTGTGCATTTATTTATACACACACACACACACACACACACACACACACAAATTCAATTACAGACTTTAACTCAATTAAGCAGGTTTACCTCCACCCTGCCCCCTCTGCCCTAATGTATCTGAAGCATGATGTGTGTGTGTGTGTACAGAAATAAAGGTCCTTCAGTAACTGACGGCTCCTGTCTACACCTGCTGGCTTTGTGCAAACACAAACACACACACACAAACACACACACACACACACACACACA